CCTCATCTTCTGAATCACTATATATTTTTTCAAAATTAAAATATTTGTTTGTTATCTATCTCTTCCCATTCCTAAAGTCACTGGGACATAGTAAGCACTGAATATATTTGTTGGGTGAAATTCAGTAACTTGTTCAACTGCTTATTTAGCATATTAATAGAAAACATTTCTTCGGTGCAAGGAGTATAATTAACTGAATACAAAAGAAACAAAACATCTTACTCACATGTAGCATTTTATAAGTAAGAAAAAAAGTACATAAGTAACTATCATGCACATCAACAGCATTAGTTCCAGTGTGACTCTGGACTTGAGGAACGCCAAAAGAAAGTAGGGTTCAGAGAAGAGCAAGTTTACCTGACCAAAATAATTGCAGATAAACATCAAGTGATAAATGGAATGTCTGAAGGGTCATTAAAATACAAACAGAGGTCTAACAAACTATCATAGAGTAAGATGTATTTATTTAAGGGTCATAACCCAAGTTAAGACAGGTGTAAAAACTGGGAGTGAAGAGATAGCACAGTGGGTAAGGCGTTTGCCTTGGACGCGGCTGACCTGGGTTCGATTCCCAGCATCCCATATGGTCCCCTGAGCACCACCAGGAGTAACTCTTGAGTGCAGAGCCAGGAGTAACCCCTGTGCATCACCAGGCGTGACCCAAAAAGCAAAAAAAAAAAAAAAGACAAGTGTAAAAACTAAAAATGCACTTTTGCAACCCAGAACTCATTACTGTATATGAGTTCTGAAACAGATAAGAAGGAATATGATTTAAAATAATGATAATAAAATAAATTACCCAGTATGTAATGTCTCTGGTTCACTGAAAGGAAAAAAAAGAGAGTAATAACCAAGGACAGAGAGGTAGTATAGCAGGTAAGGTGATTGCCTTGTATATGAACTGAGCTGGGTTGGATCCCCAGCACCACATATGGCTCCTCCAAGAGTATTTAGCAAGTCACAGAGCCAAAAGTAAGTCCTGAGCATTTCTGGTGTGGGCAAGTTGAAAAAGAAAAACAAACCATCTCATAAGACATGAAAGTGACAAAATGGCACAGACATATACCAAAATATATCCAAAGATAAGTTGTAGTCTTACTAGGTGTTATTCATTTGTACTACAAGGGCTTTGTGTTAGTAAATAAAGAAATTTAATTATTTCAAAAATAAAGTAACAGAATAAAAGTTGAGACAATTTTCATTGAATATTAAGCTAAGGATTTAATTTATTTGCAAGGAAACATTGTGGGATTTCGATTTTGATTCAAAATTGAAATGGGGGGGTGCAGATAGTGTAGATAGTATAATCTGACTGCAGATAATATAATCTGACTGAAGTTATGGGAGCTCCTGAGAACAGTGATTTTTATCTTATTTGGGGGTCCCCAGTGCATACCATGACACCTCATAAATTAAAAGGTACACAATAAATATTAGTTTATGTTTTAACCATTGATTAGGAAAATGATATAAATTCTTGTCAAGAAGAAAGTCACAAGATTCTGGTGGTTGTAGGGGGGATGGATAGAAGAAATAAATAAGAATAAGAATCACTGAAATGGGATCACTTAAATGAAAGTAAAGATAGGTCTATATGCCACACTTGGAAAAACCAACAGGTTACAGAGACTGATCAAATGTGAGTCCCAGCAGTACTGAAAGAAATCCCCTCAAACAACTGAATCTATTCAACTCATATTCAGGCTAGGACTGAAAACACAGTGATTTGTGTGCAGCTAACCTTGTTTCAATCCCCAACACCACACATGGTCCCCTGAGGACCCACTAGGACTAGCCCAAACCAGGATTAGCTCCTGGGCACCACCAGGTGTGAACAAGGAACCCACTCCACACCCCAGCCCCCCCAAAATATTAAAGCTGCAAGAATTATTGCAATGAAACCAAACTTAAAGGTAAATGCCAAAAATTCAATGTAGTTTAGAAACTAAAAAATAATTTTAAAAAACCAACTACAGACTTTTAAAATAGCAACCATAGATTTTTTAGAAAATAAAGTATATCTGCAGGCATTAATCTATTTATAAATTCATTTTCTGAATGCTTAGATAAGAGAAAGACACTCTTCTTTTAATTTTTTATTGAATCAGAGTGAGATACATGGTTACAAAGTTGTTCATGATTGGATTTCAGTTATATAATATTGCAACACCATCCCTTCACCAGTGTACATTTCCCGCCACCAATATTCTTAGTTTCCCTCTCACCCCAACTGTACCCCACCCCCTGCCTGCCTCTGTGACAAGCACTTTTCTTCTCTGTCTCTATTCTCTGTCTCAGTCTCTGTCTCTCTATCCATCTATCTATATCTATCTCTATCTTTCTCTCTGAAAGACATTCTTGAGAGGCAGGATAGGGTTTTTTGCAAATCTTAGATGTAGACACCTAGAAGATCTGAGTTTAAGAACTTCCCAATCTTTCTTATTCAGCAAGCTGTCAGAGAAGCCTGAGATTTTATATCTATGAAACCTTCGCTAATGAAAAAGAGAAGCCTTACGTTAAATTAAATCAGATTTCTAGCTTAGAGTAGGTGCTTCATAAATGTCAGTTCCCCTTTCTCTACACTACACTCTTCTTCCTACTTACTAGGATATACTAGAGTACCCCTACTTCCTACTTCCTGAACAAAATATTATTTTACTTATAATGATAGTTCCATGAAAGGTTGGATTTGTAATCATATGCTCTATTGTCTTTTATTCTGTGCCAGCTTCCAAGTTCACTGTTTCTTTTTTTCACTGATTCTCATCTCCAAATGTGATTTCAGCAGCAAATTTTTCAAATATCCTTTTATTCTGTCCTCAGGAAGATCATTAATGAAGATGTTTAGTCAGATTGGCATAAATAAACAGTGCTGATGGCAGCCTTCCAGGCACTCTGTGTCAACACAACAAGGATATGGTATCATTTATCATTCAGTCTTGTTACAGTTCTCCAATCCCTTAAAAATTTCACATGACACTCATGTCCACATCTCTACTTGAATTCCTTTTGTAAGAAAATTCTCACAAGTGACTAAATTAAATGCCACTGCAGAAGAGAACATCTGTTACATCACACTAACCTATCACTCGCTGCTCTCATAAATCTTTACAACCAAAGCAAATTTGTCTAGCATGGTATTTCTAATAAACACTCTCTTTTGTTGTGTGTGGCTCAAGCCCAAGAAAAGATAATAAACCAGTTGATGAAAGCAACAAAAACTCATTACTGGTTCAAAAATGGTCAAATAGAATAATGACACCCTTGCAGAGAAAGAAATGAAAAGCGATATAATAGCCTATACAGAGGATATATATATAAGACTCATCCTCATAATCCTGGAGAGAAATTGTTGTCTGGCTTTAGAATTCATTCTACATAATCCTAGACAGAAATTGTTGTCTGACTTTGAAGCCAGAATATTTGCTGTTCTCTTCAACTTTCCTAATGAACTCCGGACTGTAACACTCACATGAATTCTCTCATCTGCTTAATGTATGAAGTGTTATATGGATGGCTTTAATGATGGAGTTGTTTTCAGTCTCCCTTCCATATCCATCCAATTAATCTCCCTATTATTTTCCTTGAGATAAAGTAAACATATAAAGTAAACACAAAATCTATTACTGTAACCACTTTAAGGATACATTTTAGTAATAGTAATTGCTCTCACCTCAGTCTATTATTCACCACCATTTAACTCTAGAATTCTTTTTAATCTTTCAAGACTGAAGCTCTCTCTATTCATTAAATAATAATTTTCGATCTCCAGACCCCTGGCAATACCATTCTTTTTCTCCCCATGAATTTGACAACTTCAGGTGAGCAGATAAGCAGAATCATACAAGATTCCCCTCACTTTTAATTAATATGGCCTTTATAATTTGATAAGTTTATAACCCCTCCTGGCACAAAATGAAGAATAGATGAATAAATAAAGTGAAAAAAATTTCCTGGGTGCAAGAGAGGTTCCAGTCTATATGTAAAATTCAGTGGTGAGGTCACAATGAAAAATAATTAGAATAAATCAAAATAAATAATGAGAAATATAGTATCATTTAAGTGGTGACTTGAATGTTCAAGTAAGCATCATAAGGTCTAAAGAGAGGCTGAATATAGCTAATGTTCCCAGAGGCAAGCAAATCAAGGTAATTGAACAAGGAAGCAATTCAAATCCAAATCTAATGGGCTAAATACCAATTAGAGGTTGTGAAGGGTACTACCAAAGATGCTTCTGGGATAGTGGTTCTCAGACTTTAGCATAACAAAAAAATTAATCACCACAGCTGTACCAAATCGTAACTGTGTTGACTGGTACTCAATAATATGAATACAACAGTGGCTACCAAAGTAGTTAAGACACAGAATGTTTCTCTTAGTGTTGAGAAACTTGCATTCTCAATGCAAAGGATCACACCAGATCTATATTATGCATATAACTTCATGTTGTTCCCTTATTACCTTTTTTGGAGGGATTTGGAAAAGGCTGGATCACACCTGGTGGTGCTCAGGGTTTACTCTGGCTTTGCCTCAGGGATTACTCCTGTCAGAATTTGCCTTATGTGATGCTGTAGATGGGTCAGCAGCCAGCAAGGCTAACCTTACCTGCTGCACTATTTCACCAGCCACAGCTGCTACCTATTTTAACTTGTTTTGTTCTTTTTCTTCTACACTGACCTGAAAAGGCAAATAGTCAGGCTGGACTGACTGACACTGAAAATAAACCCTCATTCAACATTGCCATGGAGGACCACAGGGACTGTGCCACTATCTCAGAATCAGAATAGTCCTGAGAATGAGTCTCATGGGTGTGTGTGTGTGTGTGTGTGTGTGTGTGTGTGTGTGTGTGTGTGTGTGTGTGTGCTTCTTTTCTGGTCTGCCTCTCTGCTACCAGGTACAAACTGGCTTGTGGGAGGAAGGAATAGCCTCTATGAAGCTGTTTGCAGCACAAGAGATCAGTATCAGGCTTCTCTCACAGTTTTAATTTTCTTCCCTTCAAGAATGTGTCTGTGCTGGAGAATCATCACTGGCGATCTACAATTGGCATGCTTCGAGAATCAAGACTTCTGGCTCATTTGCCAAAGGAAATGACGTAAGTGGTGTAGAGATGAACCATACTGATGTACACACATTCAAGATAAGCCTCCTTCTTTAGGGCATGCTTGAGACTGCCGGAATGAATGGCAGGGGGCCAGTTCACTGTGCTTCCTGTCCGCACTGGGTTGTCTGTGGGAAGAGACTGGTGTCAGTTACAAGAACCCAGAAATCAATGTCTCTCGGTGAGGTCTGAGAGGCCCTTGGAGGTCTATGACTTAGAGTCTGGAAGAGAGATGAGAAACAGCCCTTAGTTTTCACACTCTTTAGCATCTGGGCTCTTATCCGCTATGTTAGCAAAATTATCCTCCCATGTAGGCCCAAATAATAAATATTTATCAATAAGTAATTGGGACTTTTCATGTTAGATTTAAGACAAATTTTGTAGAGTGCATTTTGTAACTGTCACTCAGCAAATAGAGAAATTAGAAGCTCTCTTCTAAGATGTCTTCACTGGGGCTGGAACAATAGTACAGTGGGTAGGGAGTTTACCTTGCATGCGGCCGACCCGGTTCAATTCCCAGCATCCCATATGGTATCCCAAGCACTGCCAGGAGTAATTCCTGAGTGCAGAGCCAGGAGTAACCCCTGAGCATCGCTGGGTGTGACCCAAAAAGAAAAAAAGAAAAGTCTTCACTATTCTAATTCATTATTTCACTATTTTTAATGTTTTCACTTTTTTTTTTTGAGCCATACCCAGAGATGATCAGGGTCACTCCTGGTTCTGCATTCAGGAATCACTCCTGGCAATGCTCCTGGGGGATCATATGTAGTGCCAGGGGTCGAACCCGGGTTGGCCATGTGCAAAGCAAGTGCCCTACCCACTGTACTATCTCACCAACCCCAGTGTTTTCACAATTGATTTAGGTATGATCCTTTCATCTTAAACAGAAGAAATCTTAGTTTCTAATGCACTCTTTGGTCTCCCTGATACTACGTCCTAAAACCAAGGTTATCACCTCATTTTCCACCTTCCCTCAAGTCAGCCATTGTGCACTCTTCCAAGACCACCACTAATTTAAAACTGTTTCATTAAAAATGAATCTAAGTAGCTGGAAGGGAAAAGTTAAATCAAATTCTGTTTCCTTCTTGATGAAGGACAAGTAAGTAGCTTGCAGGGAAGGCCACAGGAGAGTCTCTCCATAGAATAGGCAGCGGGTTTGGGCTCCTGGGCTTACTCCTGGCCCTCCAAGCTGTTCACAAGCTGTTTCCTAGCACCCATGGGAAGGAGGAATTTATGGGAACTTCCGTTCTGATAACTTTTCATCCCCTGGAACTGAAAAAAAACATTGCTCATACATTGAATAAAAATGTGTGCCTTTTGCTTCAACAATACATTGCAAAAATGGGCACAATTGAATGTAAAAGGAACCAAAAACTAGAACAGGAAGTTAAGAAGATTAAATATGGCAGGGACAATTTAAGAAAAAGAACAAATTGAGAGAAGGGAGAAAAGGGAAGATGGAGGCTGATGCCTGTAACACATATATTAATCCTGTTCATTGTTCAATTTGATACAATTTAAAGTCTAAGAAATTCCTCTGGATTTCAAACTAAAATAACCTATTTTTATATGTCCTTATAAACTCAATTTCTAGCAAAATTGTTTTTGCTAGAAGGATAATTATAATGCAATATACATGGGAAATTAAATGACTTTATAGTGAAAGTTATCATCATCATAATCATTATGATTAATCCTTCTTGCTTCCTGTACATACTTTAAAATCATTTTTCTAATTTTAAAAGTTATACAGATTAAATGCAAAACAAAAGAAAATTCAGAAAAGTATTATTTGGAACCATACAGAATTGGTGGTTTTGAGGGGTGAGGGCCAAACCAGTCGAACAGCATTTTCAAATGAGTCAACCTAGTCTGAAGCACAAAACTAAAGTTAGCGATAATCCTAAAATCCAAGAATAATTCAAGTTTACCTAGCTGGGATGTTTGCTTTTAGTGTTTTTTTTTAAATGGCCATATTTTCCATATTTTCACAAAATAAGAAAATTGTTTTACAGAATCTGTGACCTGATGTTTTGCTTTTCCATGTTATTATTCTGCTGCTAAAACAAATTTTTGATGACAATAACACCTTATTGTTCCAAAATGTATTCACTACTATTATTTGGAATTTTATTACTTTTAAATTTTTGTGATTATCATGCTTACCAAGCATTTCTAAACTTTTTCAGTCATATATTTTTTTGTTTCAGAGTCAGACCAGCTGGGTCAGAAGCTAATCCTGGCTCTGTGCTGGGGGCCACTCTCATTAATGCTTTGGGGACCATGTGGTGTTGTATATCAAAACCAATTCTATGTGCAAAGCATGTAATCATCCTACTGACTTATCTCTCCAGCCTTTAACCATATATGTTTTTTTCTTTTTGGGTCACACCTGGAGATGCACAGGGGTTACTCCTGGCTCTGCACTCAGGAATTTCTCCTGGCGGTGCCCAGGGGACCAAATGGAATGCTGGGAATCGAACCCCAGTCAGTCACGTGCAAGGCAAATGCCCACCCACTGTGCTATCGCTCCAGCCCCTAACCATATATTTTTATCTCAAACACCAATATTATTTTCTCAGAAAATATTTGTAGATCAAAAGCATTGGTCTGGGACAGGAGACAATATATTGGTTAGAACTCATATTTAGTATATGCCTGGCCTGTGTTCAGATGCAGCCCAGGGTTACCCTTATAATCCCCCAAAATATAAAACAATATTGCATCTTCTGGAATTTGCATTGAACAGCTAGCCCAATGGGCTGAGAATCACCATTGGGACCCCTAGGACTCCCAAACACTAGTGTGAGACCACCCAGAAGAATTATTGGTCAGGAAAGTTTAAATTTATAATGTTCTTGTTAAATAATACCAAGTTGCTTTTTTAAAAAGTATATTCCTACTGGTAGATTATGAAAAAAAATTACTAATAAGTCCTTACCAAAATTGAATTTTATCTTTACTATCCTGTTTAAACAAGTTAGCAATATATGGATGGATTTGTTAATAACAACTAAGATTAAAAAGTTTCTATGTGTTTACAGGATATTACTGTTTCTTTAGGGAACAAACTATTGTGGTTGGTTTTTTTCTTATCACTTCATTTATAATCATTGTTTGTATATGAACTATAGTAATCATTTGTTTTACTTTAAAATATTATTTGAAATTTTCTTCTGCTTTTAAATTGATTCATGAAATATTTACCCTACTAAAATGGTTTATTTTTATTTAAATTTGTTTATTTTTTAAAGAGTTCATACATTATTATGCAGTATAGAAAAGAAAGTAAAAGCCATTTGTTTTGATTGTGTGGGAGGGTATGTGAGCACATGAACACGTGTGTGGTGTCATGAATCCATCCTAGGACTCATTAATACAAGCCATGCTTTATCAATGAGCTATAACCCAGTTTGAAAGCCAAAACGCATAGAGCTTTCCAAATCCTTTCTTATGACCACGTAAATAATGACTTACATGCCTTGATCTTGGTTTTTAACCTAACAATAAATCATGCCATTTGTCCCCATCAATATTTATAGCTTTATATGCAGTTTTTGCATATAATGCAATTTTATGCATATAACATAGTTTATTTAACAAATCTCTTGTTTAAGAATTTTTGCGAATTTTTTCTATCCTAAAAGTTCTCATATTATGATGGATAATGTAAACAGTTATATGAATTCATCCCTATCTATTTCTGATAAACTGGTTCTAGGAAGCCCACATATGCCCAAATCCACAGATGAACAAGATCCTTATAATAAAATAGCATTGTGTTTGCATGTAATCTACACATACCTTCTTGTATACTTCAATTCTCTCTAAATTACTTATAATAGTCAAGACAATGTATATACTATGTAAATAATTTTTGTCTTATTTATGAAATTATGACAAGAAAATTATCTGTATATGTTTGATACTGTCACAAACATACTAGTCCTATCTCCAAAGTACATATTTTCAATCTGGGTTTGATTGAATCCTTAATGCAGAACACACCAGAAGCAGAACAAGTGGGTAAAGGGCCAGGTCTAAAAGATTTATAAGTTACTGTTACTATCCTTCCGCTGTTCATCGATTTGCTCAAGCAGGCCCAGTAACGTCTCCATTGTGACGCTTATTACTGTGTTTGGCGGATCAAATACGTCACAGGTAGCTTGCCAGGCTTTGCCGTGCGGGCAAGATACTCTCGGTAGCTTGCCAGGCTCTACAAGAGGGTGGAGGAATCGAACCTGGGTCGGCCGGATCGGCTGTGTGCAAGGCAAATGCCCTACCCGCTGTGCTATCACTCCAGCCCGAAAGATTTATAAGTAAGACATATTAAATATGTCTAGCCTCAAAACGGTTAAAATTAAACCATGTTATTTAGACTTGCATATTTTTTACACTTAGATGGTAAAATTACTGTAATAAGAATATTGTTCAAATAAAGATCAAGTTAATGGTTACCTAGTGGTTTGGGAAAGGATGTGATGAAAGAGATAACAGGAACATTCTGGGATATAACCGTCATAGGCATGCACTATGTACACAGCTCAAATATATTTTATTTTTTAAGCTAAATTTTTTTCAATAAATACAATTTAATTGTCTTTCCCTTACTGCTTCCTATATGGGAGGTAAAGGCCTAATGTGCTTTATTTTCTCCTCTTGCAAATTTTGTTACTGTTGTTACTGTGAATTTTAATTTTTTTGCAGGTTTAAAAGCTATTAGAAACTCATCCCCAAACTGCTGTGATTCTGCAGGTCTTTTTATGTCCTCAAAGTTAACATTGCTAATTGCCTTTCAGTTTATTTACTCATAGGAACTATGGGACTGTACAAACTACCACAAGTTGATTCCCCCAAAATTTTACTCACTATAGGCAGTTCTTAATATCCTCCATCTAAAGGCAGAAATTGTAGGGGCAGAGATGAGAACCTCTTTTGGGTTTTGAGGGTCTGGGACTGTAATAAATGGAATCAAAGGTAGAAATGAGAATGCAAACCACCTGATGAAATAGGAATCAATTACTCTCCTCAAAGGGATTTTCTTTGTGTGTGTGTGTTCTCTTTTATTGTTGTGGATGCAGACAGGATATTGAACAACAGCTGGGCTCCTTGATCTTGGCAACAGACATCAACAGGCAAAATGAATTTTTGACAAGATTGAAAGCTCATCTCCACAATAAAGATTTAAGACTGGAGGCTGTACATGACAGGCACTTCATGCTTCAGGTAAATAATAAGAACAAGGGCTATCATCCATGTTGGATAAAATAAAATAAAAGAAAAGAAAAGACAATTTTGGTCAATATGTTTAGTGCATTTGAGGAGTATCACACAGAGTAAAATTAGAGCAGTGACCTACTTTAATAAAAGCTCTGAGATACATGAAATTTTTACTTGATTTACAAACAAGCAAAGTCTGGGTTCCGTGTCAATAAATTGATAATATCTCATATTTCCTCGTTTAGTAACTGCTTCACCACAAAGTAACCCCTCTAGCCAATTGCATGCAATAAGAATCTACCACATTTGGCAGGCTTGATGCAAAACTGACCACGTGCATACCTGTGCAACTTAGACTGTTTCTGTAACAAATATATATATTTTATGCTAGCTATAGTATAATTAGTAGTTGAAAAATGAGTAGTCTTCCATTAACTAGATTATTTTTATCCAACTCCTGCATGACTTCCTTTTATATGCAAGCTCGTCTTTTCATCAGACTCTCAAACATGTTTACCTAGTCTTACCATTTTTAGTCATCAATAAATAATCTGTTTTCATTTAATTGAATGAATCAGATCAAGCCCAGTCTCTCCTATTTATTTATTTTTTTATTGCTTTTTGGGTCACACCCAGCAATGCACAGGGGTTACTCCTGACTTTTTTGCACTCAGGAATTACTCCTGGCAGTGCTCAGGGGACCATATGGGATGCGGGGAATCAAACCCAGGTCAGCCGCATGCAAGGCAAATGCCCTACCCACTGTACTGTTGCTCCAGTCCCTCTCCTATTTAATTCTATTATAAGATGCCAACAAGAGGTGGTCTGACTCTGTGAAGTAGACATATGAAAGCTGAAGCAGAAGACTGGCATCCCTACAGGATCTTTTACCTCCCATTTTCTCATGTCTTCTTTCTTTCCTTTTGACACAAAGAGAGAAAGAAATAAACCCTGAGCTCACCTAGAGTCCAGTTTTAACCAAGGAAATAAATGTGCATAGACCAAAACTATCTGAGATTTTATTTGGTTTTCTTTGTACTTTTTTTTTTTTTTTGCTATATACCTTAATGCTGTCCACCATATTTGTCAAAGCACTCCATCCTTCCCAGGAAAGAGCCTCTTCCCACCTGTAGGATCTCCCTTCTTTCTTCCAAATTTTTGATATTTCCTACAATAAGTGCCACAAAGATCAATCAGATATCTGATTTTATAACTCAAGGAACTATTTGACTAGAATACTTGCATTTTAAAAGTGCTTGCTAGCACAAATGCATGTCTACTGGAGTTCCCATTAACCAGAAAATCAAGAAACCACCAATACGATTTAGACCCCAGCACACTAGCAGTTCTGTGATCCTAAGAAATTGAATCAAACAAACCAGCATTACTGCAAAGTGATGCCCACCTTCAGTCTATCTCTGTAGCCATCTCTCAGTTCACTGATTAATGGGGTGAGAATATTCTCTGGGAATGCATGGTAATCCTCCTCGGATCAGCTGGAATCCCAGATCCAAACAGTGTGAAATAATCCATGCCATGATGCCTTGATTTGACTCTATCAGTTGATGGGCTTTCAGTCTCTGGTGGGTGGAATAAAGCCTGCTCAACATTCAAGATACAAAAATACAAAATGCACAAGTGATCTGTGAAACTGGTCTCATTGAGAGTAAGATATGAATGATCTCATGTGAACCTGTGAGGGTCTTTAGTGGCCTCTCTGCCCACAAGGTATGGGCCATAGAAGAAGCCAGACTATGGCTTTCCTTGGCTTACCCACCCACCCCATATCTCTCTGGGAAATTCCATATCTTAAGATAGTGACTATTCTTTCTCACTTCTACATATGGAGGAAGTTCTGAAGGAAGGTCTTATATGTTGGCAAGTAAATGCTGTTTTCTGAAAAAGGATGATCTCTGTCCAGCTGGTCCTGGAACCAGGAGGCATACTGAGCGTGCTGCTGAAGAATCGCCCTTTAACCATTTTCTTCCTATCTTATCATTTCTCAGATTGCCCTGAAGTGTGCTGACATTTGCAATCCCTGTAGAATCTGGGAGATGAGCAAGCAATGGAGCGAAAGAGTCTGCGAAGAATTCTACAGGCAAGGTTAGAAGGAGTCTGACAGCTTGAGTTTTCACCACTCTTTCTCCTTTGAGGCATTTCTAATAAAGCAAGAAATAGCTAATCTATCATGACATTTATTCTTTCATAAACTCTTATTATCCTAACCTTTCTCTTTAATTTTCTTGAAAACTATCTCTTTTTGGAATTTTTTTAAAATTTTATTAAGGTACTGTAATTTAAAAAGTTATTCATAGTGAGTTTTATTAAGGCACTGTGATTTAAAAAGTTATTGATACATTGTGATGCAATGTTCCATCACCAGTGCTGGAAGTAATTTTTAAATAAATAATTTACTTACTACAAAAAAGCAAGTAATAAGATACAATGGGAATGAGTAAAAATGGTGAGTATATCATGTTTTTTTAATGGCTTTCTCTGTGGCTGTAAGACTGAGGGATAGTTTTTGACCTAACCTTCATATTAATGAGCTAATACAGCCTAAGAGCTAAACAATATTTGGGGTCAATATTTTCTCATCGACTGAAGGTCTTAGAATCCTTTTGCATCCTGTTCCCTTACTTTTCTGAGTAGATACTGAAACCTAATTAATTCTTTATTGTATTTTTATTTTGGGTCATAGCACAGCAAGCCAAAAAAATGAGTTTTTGTTCTCTCGAATGTATACCATAAACCAAACAAATGGCCCCAAGTTGGGATATAATTTTTAGGTGATTAACCTCATTCAGAAATAAGGCAATGAATTCACAGGAGAATCTTGATGTTGAGCTTTTAAGCATAGCCTTGTTTCTTCAGGCCCGTTTAGTGCTCAGGCTGTTTGTTCAGGCACAATAAGTTCCCTGATGTTGTGACAGGATCAAGTTGGAAAGAACGAAAACAAATAAAGCCTGAAGTGTCCCACATAGCTGCTCTGTGAGGTCAAATCGCAACAGTGAGTCTTTGGAGATGCCTCCATTGAAAGCTGTGTCAGTAGCATTGTGACATCCTAAAGATGGAAAACAAAGGAGAACAGATTGGGTTCGTGTGGGGCCAGAAAGTGCTGCTCAGCCTCTCTCATTCAGAATCAAAGTGGTCCTGTAGCCCCAACAGCTATAAATTTCACCTCAATTGTGTCTAAATGGCTAGAAATAAAAACATTAATTCTTGTTGCTCAAGATGCAAAATTTCCACTGAGGGAAAACCAAACTTCTCAGAAATATCATGCAGTTAGAGCAAAGAGGGTTTTAGTAGATTAGATTAGATAAATACCTTCTTTACTGTGAGATGCAGAAAACATTAAAATAACACAGGAAGAAAAGAACTTTTGTAAATCAAACAATGAGAGAGAGAAAAAAAGGATGTATTCTGCTACTGTTTATTTTGACCCAATCTTATGCTCACATTAGCACTGATTGTAGTTTTAATCCTTTTGTTTGTTTGTTTGTTTTGTGCCTTGTTTTGGAGAGATAGAACAACCAGGTAGGGCACTTGCCTTACTCACAGCCAACCTGAGTTTGATTCCCAGCACCTCATCTGGTCCCACAAGCCCCATCAGGGGCGATCCCTGAGCACAGAGCCAAAAGTAAATCCTGAGCACCATCAGGTGTGTCCCACACACTTCAGCCCCAGAGAAAAAAAGAATTTCAAGAGTAATCAATAGTTGATGGTTTTACGTGAAAATAAACAAAAAGGAGAAATCAAATACATTTTCTCCAAAATGTCAAGCTTGACTGAAACCTCACTATGCACAGAAGTCGGGAGGTGAAGACCTGGTTTTTAGAGAATTCCTCTGAATGTTAAGCAGTGTCATACCCTGCCCTTGAACACTATTATCCTCTGAAATATTCAAATCAAACCTAAATGATTTGCTCCTATTAGTCTTGAGAATCACCCAGACAGAAGAGAATAAGGAACAATGGCTACAGGTTTAGAGAAAAATGACAGCAATATGCTGTCTCAAATGTTCTAAGTCAGTGGCTAAAACTCTGAATCCGACTTCCTAGGTTAGAATCTATGCTCCCCTCTTTTCCTTTTTTTTTTTTAATTGAATCACCGTGAACTACACTGACATAGCTTTCATGTTTGAGTTTCAGTCATACAATGATCGAACACCCATCCCTCCACCAGTGTACATTTTCTACCACTAACGTCCCCAGTATCCCTACCCGCACCCATCCCACATTTCCCCCTGTCTCTATGGCAGTTAATTTCCCTCTTACTCTCATTCTACTTATGGGCATTATGGTTTGAAATACAGATAATGAGAGGCCATAATGTTTGGCCCTATATCTACTTTCAGCACACATCTCCCACCCCGAGCAATCCCTCCAACCATCATTGACTTAGTGACCCCTTCTCTATCCCAGTTGCCTTCTCCCCCAGCTCATAAGGCAGGCTTCCCAACATGGCTCCTCTCTTTTCTAGCAATAAAAACTTGAGTCACCAAACTTACTTTTAGGTCTATGGCTTGATCTATAAAAATGGAGATTATAATGAGATTGTTATGAGCATTAAGTATATTAACATATGTAAAAGGCCCATAACAGTGCTTGATACCCAATAGAAATGGTAGAAACATTATAATTTTAGTCCTCCTAGGAATGTACACTTCCACAGCTGTAAGCCACATGCATTTCAGAAATTCACATTTTCTACTAATTCACCATATAAAAGTTACCCATTTTTTAAGCCTAAGGAAAAAGTGATAAAGCCGTGGATGATGAATTTAAAGTGGTGCTTCTTTGGTCTTCAGCTGACAAAGGCATCTCATGAAAGAAATAGCATCCTGACTCTGTGTGTTTTTAACCATCAGTTAATTGAATAAAACATTTTTAATTCAGAATATAAAATATCATGGTGGAAAATGGGCACTGGTGGAGGGATGGGTATTTGATCATTGTAAGCTTGAAACCCAAGCACAAAAATTTGTAAGTCTACAACTGTACCTCATGGTGTCTCACTAATAAAAATTTAAAATACATATATAAAATATCAGAATCCTATTTCTGATTGTATACACTGAGATATTCTTCAGTAAGATCTTCAAGTCTGTCTCCTCCATTTCCTACTAATTTTTTTTTTGCTTTTTTGGGGTCACATCCAGTGATGCTCAGGGGTTACTTCTGGCTCTGCACTCAGGAATTACTGCTGATGGTGCTTGGGGGACCATATGGGATTCTGGGGATTGAACGTGGGTCAGCCACATGCAAGGCAAACACTCTCCTCACTGTACTATCTCTTTGGCCCTCCTATTATTTATTATTACTGGTTCTTGAAGTTAAGCCAGAAAAGGGTCAGAGTGAATGAAGGGGAAAGGCATAAAATTTGTTTTCTTAACCTGTAACTTACATCCAGAATTTCCATTTCATGTTAGAAAACTGCCCATTTGTTGTGTTCTTGTTTTTATAGATCATGTTTTAAAATTTGTTTGGTCCCAAAGCATGCCTATTTCCAATGAGCCTACTGTAAATAGTCATTGACACCCTGATATTTTCACAGAAGCTATCAGAGTGAGGCAGAGCTGGTGCTAAAGCATTTTTAATTTCCAGTATTATTTCTTTCAAATTGATTGTTAAACCTATTAATATTAATTTTTATAAGTTTTCTATTACTGATGTGTTTCTTCTTTCCATTTAGGTGACCTTGAACAGAAATTTGAACTGGAAATCAGTCCTCTTTGTAATCAACAGAAAGATTCAATTCCTAGTATACAAATTGGTGAGTTGAATTCAGTTCTAATTTTAAATTAACAGGTTTTGCACGTCTACCAAAAGTTATGTAGAAAAGACGATCTGCACACAGCTATAGAAAGAACCTAACTGGGAATTAATTATTGCTTACTTTTAATGGGTAAATCCAAATAATCATGACAGATTTTGTAATTACCAATAGATAAATTATATCACAAAGAATGAAGTAAAGTCTTTTTTGTAGTTTCTGAACTTAACTTTATTAACTCTAGTTCAAAACAGGGGGGAAAATGAGTACGAAGGAAAGTAACCAAGAATCAACTGTTAACTCACACTTCTTTAGGATTGGAAGGGTGAGAAATTTATGGAATAGGTCTTCCTATTGGAAAAGCCCCTCCAATTTGGGTTTCCAAGTTCATTCCCAACAAGAATTCCTACGGTCCTGGTCCTCAGCCCAGGTCCTCTAAGCCACACCATCTTTTATGGTCATACTTCTTTCCTCTCTCATTCAAAATACTACTTCATTTATGTATTTTTGTGTTTTTAGGACAATGTTCTAAAATATCAGTCACAGTAATCTGTGAAAGTGTCATGTTAGCATATGCAAACTAGTTGTTACTTCTAATTAAGTTATGAAAAACACTTATCAAATTCCAGGCACTTTACTAGAGTTATGTTTTGCTTCACCAAGAATTTCTATAACTCCTTAAAACACTCTAAAATTCCATCTGCATTTAAAGCAATTCTCTCTTTCTTGTAGTTTCTTTCAAATTGACCAACTTCAGAAACTCTGATTCTTTTCCATATAGGCTCTGGTCTTGATGTCTACCACCAGTTTATGTTTTTCTCCAGTTCCCACAGACTTCAGCTGCTTAACACAGTCACTAACCTCTAATCTCTACACAGCTCATAGACTAATTCCTTTTTTTTTGGACAGGAAGAGAACACCCTGAGAAATATAAACTAAAAATTAAGAAAACCAGAAAATCTTAGAAAGGCACAAGGACTAAATCTAATCCATAGTCCCAGAATAATAAATATGAAGTTATCCTAAGCAACTAAGGGTAAAATTAACATAAGTATAAATATTTAATGTACAAAATAAACTTAGTAGCAAAGATTTAATACAAATATTAAAATAGATATGTTAGAATTATGATACTGTTCATTTTTTCCAACTTGCCTTTAGTACTGTTATACTATTGGTATAATTAAACTGGTTCCTCCACCAGGAAAAATAACAAAGTGCTATTAAAAAAATAATAATTCAGAAAGAATCAAGGGAGATGGAACTAGGATCTTCCCTCTAAGGAGATGAGAGAGTGGCGGAGGAGTGGGAGAAATGTAGTTTTAGCTTCCCTGAAATCAGTTTCCTTCTATCAGTTTCTTTTCTTTGTGGCAGTTCTTTCTGCTAATATAATTCAAAAGGAAGAGATCCTAATCAAAATCCTAATCCTGGACCCCGGTATGTTAATTTGTGACTAGAATAAAATGCATGAGGCACATTTAAAGACATGTGAAATCCCAAAGAAAATTGTTCACATTGTTAAACAGATAACCTGGATTTTCATGATAGTTCTGAATTCAGAGATTTTTATCCTGTGGTTGTCATGAGAACACTCTCATTTTGCCAGATCATACATTCTGATTTTCAGCTCAGGAAAATGTGGTTACCATAGATACTTGTTTTTAAAATGGGATGGGCATAAAATCCCATGAATGCTATCATCACACCAGTAATAAAGAGAAGGGGAAGGTTATTATAAAATAACCCTTAGTATATAAATCTTTGTCTCTATGCCTTCCAGCTCAGTAAGTTCAGGAGCTGATCAGGCTTTACTGGGAAAAAAAGCAAACAGATAAACAGAATCTAATGAGAACTGAGGTTTCAGAATTCCAAACAAGGACTTATTTACTAGATTCAAGTAATGTGGCAATTTCCTCTATCTTGATTTCCCTGGGACTGAACATGTCTTCTCTACTCCTATCCCAGTCCACCATAAGACTTTCCTTTGTGCCATCTCAGACTTAGATCTGATTTTCTGATTAAGTCATTCATATTTATCCATATGGAAATGGGATTTAGTATATTCTCTGTCTCCTTCTTCATTCCCTCTATCAAATTCTGTATTTAAAAGAGAAAGTTCTATCTAAAATGAAAGTCCAGGTGATGAAATCTGTAGAAAGAAGAGGAGAAAAGGGACTTTCCTACCATTCTTTTTTTAACTCCAAGGCCACCATGTTTTCTTTCCTAAACTCTTACCACTCCAGGAAAATATCTTTGCAAAGATTCTACTTTGGGTTTGGCATGCTGTGTGGATGAATAGGGTAGAAACAAAAATCTGGTACCAACACATATCAAAAAGTCTAGAAGTAGCCATTGGCGGTGGTGTTGTGATGAGAAAGGAACCCTCATCTACTACTGTCATCTGGTTCAGCCTCTATGGAAGCAATATAATGATCTATCAAAAAAATAGACTACCACACAGCCCAGTATTGCTTCTTCTTCTTGGCATCTATTCCCAAAAGACAAAACCTTTCATTCAAAAGGATATATGCACATTTATGTTTATCATCATACTCAATATTAAGTACAATAGTCAAGACATAGAAACAATCCAAATAGCCAAATACAGATGAATCAAGAAGTTGTATTGAACTAGGTACGATACTTGTCTGACATGATTCCAACCCAGATTTGATGCTCAGCACTACATATGGTCCCCTAAATTAGCCAGGATTGATCCCTGAGAGAACAGCCAGGAGTAAGCCCAGAGCACCATAGAGTGTGGCCCCAAAAAAAAGTTGTGATTATACATATATATATATATATATATATATACATACATACATAATGGAATACTATGCAGCTCTAAGAAGGAGAAAATCGTTTAATTTTTTTAAAAAAATGGATAGTGCTAAAGTATCATGTTGGATAGAGTCTGTCAGAAAAAAAGGGATAGACACAGAATGATCTCTTTTGTGGGACTTAAATATATACAGCAATGTGGCAGCAAAGGACCAAAGGCAAGGTGATGGGAGAACTTCACACAATTGAGTTAGTTTGGGGTAAGAGGTTGAGAGAGAGGAGCACTAAGGTCTTTGGGAAAAGGAGGTGGGTACTCTGGTGATGGGTATGGTGTTGGAATTATGTTTATGAGAAATCATCATTAATAGCATTTTAAGAATTTCAGTGGAGCAGGTAACCAAATCTAATCAGACAGAGGTCTTCATTCATTTGAAAAACTCAGGGGGCCTATTCAGACTTTAAAATGCCTTTTCTAGTTATTAAATGAGGCTTTTAATACATAATGGGATTTTTAAGTACTGGCTTAGAAAATACTGATTTTATAAACTTTTATACAATAAGTAATAACAAAACACAATAAACACACCTTAAACTTTATAAGAGTATAATTTTGAAAATTATATTTTAATATCTCATAACTGTAGCACTGTAGCACTGTCCTCCTGTTGTTCATCGATTTGCTCCAGCGGGCCCAGTAACATCTCCATTGTGAGACTTGTTGTTACTGTGTTTGGTATATCAAATACATCACGGGTAGCTTGCCAGGCTTTGCTGTGCAGTAGAGATACTGTAGGTAGCTTGCCGGGCTCTCTGAGAGGAGTGGAGGAATTGAACCTGGCTCAGCTGAGCTGGCTGCACGCAAGGCAAACGCCTTACTGCTGTACTATTGCTACAGCCCATCTCATAACTAATCTCCCTGAAAAATAAAGATATTATAAATTAATTATGGACATTGTGATGGAAGTAAAGAAAATTCAAGAAAAGCAAAGAAATAAAAATTAAAGAATAAAATCCTTATAAGCCTCTATATACCTTTTTTGTTTTTGCTTTTTGGGTCACACCCAGCATTTCACAGGGGTTATTACTGGCTCATGCACTCAGGAATTACTCCTGGCGGTGCTCAAGGCACCATATGGGATGCTGGGAATCGAACCTGGGTCGGCCGCATGCAAGACAAATGCCCTCCCCACTGTGCAATCGCTGCAGCTCCACCTCTATATATTCTTATCAAATACAAATTCCTGTCAGTGGCTTCATTTTTCTCCTCAAGTTTGAATTATATAAATTATCTCACAATACAATATATAAATGATATTTTCTATAAGATGAGATAATACAAAAATGAAGATACTATTTTGCACTGCTATATCTTTCTTTCACATCTGTAGTAGCTTCAGAGGCCAGTATTCTGCTGTTTTTCTGCTAAAAAGATAATCAGGGCAGGAGAGATAGCTCAGAGGGCAAGCATGCATGATTTTCATGCTGGAGGTCCAAATTCAATCATAGCACTAAGTACCACCAAGAGCAACCCATGAACAATGTGTTAGGCATGGCCCGTAGAACCACTGAGTGGGGGGGGTTACTCTAAAAGAAAAGATAATCAAATTAAGCTTTGTCAGTTATATGCCTATAAAGACACAGGATTGGATGTTAGCTGATTTTATTATACTGAGAAACACTTAACTCTGTACTCCATTTCAATGAAATATTTTTTTAAAAAAAGCTTAACATGTCCAAGTTTGTGATGAATATTATAATTTTGACATGTAAATCAAGTTAACAGTGAAACAAGAGTAGAAAGCAACAGGTCTAAAATAATTAAGAAAAAAAATAAAATAAGAGACAAGCAAACACTTTAGTCATTAAAATAGTATTTTTCATGTACATAGTGCATTCACATGCAACAGCTGTGAATAAACTTTTCTTTAACTTCTCTTAGCTGTTTAGCCGAGTGGAAAGACAGACAAAACAGGGGACTGGAGCAATAGTACAGCAGGTTGGGTGCTTGTCCTACATGCAGTCAACTCTGGTGACCTGAGTTTGAGCCCCAAAGTCCCATATGCCCCCACCTCTCTCGCCCCACGTCTGCCAGGAATGATCCCTGAATGCAGAGCCAGAAATAATCCCTGAGCACTGCCTAGTGTGGTCCAAAAAACAGAAACAAAAACAAAAAAAGAATGAAAGAAAGATAAAACCAAGAGAGAGATTTAGTAGAGGTTAAGGTTTATGACTTGCATGTGGCCTACCCAGGATTCAATATCTGATACCTTATGTGGTCCACTGAGCATGGACAGGAGTGAGTCCTGAGCACAGAGCCAGGAGCAGGAATAGCCCCAAACACAGTGGGGTGTGGCCCATACACCCCCACCCCATAAAAAGATAAAACTACCAAGTTATAACCTTGAAACAATATTCTATATGGTAAATGTATGACCTCTATCAGCAGGTCTGAATCCTTGGTATGTGCCTCCCTGCTATCATTTGTCCTTTCTCCCTCTCCTCTACCTTCCCTCTTTAGCTACAGAACAAATATTTCTTTGCTTTTTTGTTGTTTGCTTGTTTTTCTCCCTGTCCAAATAACCAGTGTTTATTGTCCGCTTATATGCCAAGGGCTTTCTAAACATGTATCATGTTTTAGATCACTTCATTAGCATAATAGCCTTATGGGGTTAAGTAGCCTTTTTAGAGAGTTTATGTGACAAGACCAAGATGACATAATCTTATGTACACTGAAGAGAAGGTAGAGCCCACATCATGTGTGCCTCTGCACTCCTGGGCCAGGCCCAGAGTAAACACGCACCGTGTTTGGGAGGAGGTGCAAGGGCGTTTTCCTGATCTCAGGTGGGTATTTTGTCCTTGCCTGTTCTAGGTTTCATGACTTACATTGTGGAGCCGCTCTTCCGGGAATGGGCCCGTTTCACCGGAAACAGCCCCCTGTCTGAGAGTATGTTGAACCATCTTGTGCACAACAAAGCCCAGTGGAAGAGCTTGATGGCCACGCAGCACAGAAGCAGCGGCAGTGACGGTAGCAGTGGCAGCCCAGACCCCACAGGACCAGGGACTGAGAAGCAGGAGCAGATTGTGAGCGAAGGCGATGCTCCCTAGTGCGCGCCAAGTCTGCACCCCGTTCTGCATGCAGAGAGAACAAGAACCACCTTCAGCAACCCCCTTCCCCAGGGGATAGAAGCTCTGAGGGGGATCCCGCGGAGAAACCCGGACAACTCTCTGGGTCTCGACCTGGGGCTCTTTGGAATGAAACCCTCCTTCTACCTGCCTCCCCTCCTTTTTCCAAGTGTACAGAAGCCATTTGTCACCTCAGCATTAGCTGCCGAAATGAGCAACTCCATTCAGAAATTTGGGAGCCAATTCTAGGGGCAGGCTTGCCCCCCCAGGAGAAGACTGGGGAGAAAGAAAAGAGGTACTTCTGCCTGTCCCCCCACGGGTCCTGGGTCACACTGTGACAAGCAGCAGTTCCTAAATCCAGAGCATGTTAGTGATTGCCCCTGTGTCCGCTGATCTGCATGACAGAAAACACCAGCATATTTGGACCTCCAGGGATATGGGTCTTCATATAAAGGCATAAAAGAGAGCATGGGAGAAAGAACCTTCTACTTTAATAATAATTATTATTATAAAATAATAATAAATCTTTTTAGCATTTCTATTTTATGCTCTAGACATTGAGTCTAAAATTTTGGACTAAGATGATTCACTGTACCCAAACTTGAACAAGGGGTTCATTGTTTTGTTCACTGACTATGCCACTTTGGGTCAGAGATCTGATATCTCCTCAATTTAAGAAACCACGTTTCCGAGACGATCCAAGGGGAAGGTGCTGTACAGTTCATTCCTCCACACCATTGGCCAATCTGTCTTTTATCTATATCAGATTCAGTGACCTGTTTATATTCACACATGTACATTTTCTGTAAATACCAAGCGCTACTGATTCCCATGCCAAAATACGTGAGTATTATGGGATTGCTACCTGTATAAACAATGGCACTGTGAACAGAATACTGTTAGATTTACTACAAGAGAACGCATTTGTAAATATGGTATAGAGTTTATTAATATACTATGGTTTGCAGATAAAGGCCTTAACTCTAGACATCTTTCACCTTCTGAAAGCTGCCCACCTTTAATCCTCACAGACATCCTCCTGAGCTGCCTTCCCACGTTCATCTTTATGCTTTCTGACTAAGGTCACAAACAAAAACTGAAAAAAGTTTTTGAGGAAATCGTTTGGAGACTTCACGTGCATTCCACTGGAGACCGTAGTTTTTCATCTATGGCACCAAGCATCGTTTCCTCAGATTAATGAGACCCTTCAGCAAGCCTGAAGTCACTTTTCAACGCAGAAATGTTGCACATTCTGTTTTAGTGAACCAACTGATAAACTTGTGATTACGGGACTCTTGTCATAAGCATGGCAGTGTGTCAACCTCACCAGAGACATGGCAGGTCTCAAAGACCTTCTATTAGCCCTGTCATCTGTCAGGGTAGTCCCTGTTCCCCTCCTACACTTTTGTCTGTTATTGCTACAGTACCAAAGCACCAAAGGTTGGTGTGCATTCCTTTGGTGTTACTAGTAGCTGGATTTTTCTTTTTCCTTTATTTCTTGTGAACAAATATCCAACAGCTTAGCTGGTTAACATTATTTAAATAAAGAAAATATTTCAGTTATCTGACAGAATTTATCTTCCTGGCAGGTCATGGGAATAATTATGCTTCTTGCTGGCTATCAACTTCAGAATTTGGTTGTCGCTTTTGTTTTTCTTTACTTCTGCAGACACTTGGCAGTAATACCAGTTTTTTACAGCATTCTTCTCTAGGAGACTAAATTTTGCATTGTACTTTTCCTTTTAAAATTCTAGCAAAACAAAACTTAGGTGAAAATTGGTGATACCTTGTGCTTTTTACCTTAAATACTATTGCAGTGGGAGAATGATAATATAATGTTGTCTGCTACCATCAAGCTTTTTCACAAACTGATAAAATGACAAACTCCTGTTTCCTAAGGGCAACTTTTTTTTTCCTGCTAATGTGCAAATGAAACACTCGAAACTTGACTGGATTATAACAAGTTCCTGTAATAAGAGAGACTGAGACTTGTAGTGTTAAGGTTTAGGGAAATTTTTGGAAAGTTTTTATATTTATGTAAGTAGGAGAGATTTTCAGATGGTGCTGAAGAAAGTGTGAAAACCTAATGAAATGGGTGGAAGATAAGTTGAAATTGTGATATGGGTAAGAGGCAAGTTGTGAAAACTTAACACTTTTTTTCTGTGTAACTATGAATGGACACAAGTTTCTATATTGTTTCAATAATTCAGAACTGTCATCTTGGTAAGGCCCCCAAAAAAGAGTATGTTCAGTATATTCCTGCCTTCAAATTGTTGTGATTTGTTTTGGTGATGTAGGGAGGCTTTGTGATCTTGGGAGATCTATTTTTAATCTACATGAAATCAAATCAAGCAAAAAAATTATTGGGATATATGAGTGATATTTGGAACCATACAGTAGAGATTAGGGGGAAAAACACTATTTTAGCTAAGGGGGTTTCTAACTTGAGTTTATGAAATAGACTTTGTTTATATAAACTATATTTCTGTCATAATATTAATAAATAAGACTGAGAGCATTGTAATAAGTCCAACTTTAAAAAAATAAACATGTGTTTATGTGACAATTAGGTCTTTAAAAAATAGCTCTTAGAGAAAATCATCAATCAACCTATGAAGAAGCTATTAGTACAGAGAAAAAGTAAGATAAAATGAGACATGAGGCATTTATCTTTTTAAGCATCTGGGAACTTTTTTTAGTTCCTCAGATTTTTTTTTTTTTGGCAAAAAAGGAGAGAATGTGAAGTTTTTTTTTCCTCTTTTTTTCAACTAGTAGCTCTCTTACAATATTTCAGCAGAAGGAGTCTAGTTGCTATTGAGTCTTGGATAATCCATAGATTTTTATCTTTGTTACACTCATCTCCTAGTCTTTGGGTCATCAATAGTTGATGTACCAAATTTAATTCTTATATTGCTAGAGAAGATCAGAAACAAGGAGGCTGTTTTTAGTAAGCAACAGATCAAATTCAGAGAGAAACTATATAGCACTGCCAGGCCTGATAGGTGAAGCCTGCTTTTCCTTTTCACAGCATCCTTGTATCAGAACCTTTTTGGGAAACCTTGACTTACCCCAAACACCCTGCTAGGCTGAATAAAAATCCCACCATTTCTACCTGCTTTAAGGCTTCGGTAAAGGGACTTGAAGCCTGTCCTGCAGCGCTGTTTTTAGATAATGCTTCCTACAAAACACAGATATGTTTTGTAACTTGCGCTCACATTGAATCATATTTGCTCACTGACTTGGGTTTGGTTATGAGCTTGTATTTCACTGTATTTCTTATGCTTTATTCTTTTAAGCAAACCTTTAAAACTGTGTTGTTTTGTGTACACATGAAGTTTGCGGGGGGAACCCACCCTGTGAGTTTTTCTCAATTTGTGGCCCTGTGGCCAAAAAAAATCCATTGGCATGTTTAGATGAAAAATTAAAAATAAAGAATTTCTTAAAAATATCACCATATGAAGATATCTTCATTGTCACCAAGAAATTTATCTCGAATTGAAGTATCTGCCTTAGCTATCACCCGTTTTTCTATTAATCTTCTGTGTTTTAGAGTAAGAGTTAGGGTATCTCTTATTTGCATGTCTGATAGAAATTTCTAGGAGGAAAATAACTGCTAGACACAAAATAATACTCTCCTTCCCTTACCCCAATGCCAGGAGGCCTTAACTCATGTTATTAACAGCTCTGATCTTCTATGTCAGGTTTGTTGAATCACAGAAGGTTTGTTGAATCACAGTTTGAGAGAGCAGGAGAAGTTGGTGCCTTCTAGGATGTCTCTCATATTTCCATATGTGATTTAGCTCATGATGACTGTCTTTGAGCAGAACCCAAAGCAGAGTTACTTCTTAGCATGAGAGAGAAGGGAGAAGATTCAGTCCTGGCACCAGGGCAATGAAACAAGCAGATAGTTTTCTAATGACTAAATGATCTTTTTGCTCAGAAGCAATTATAATGTTTTTCCCAATTAAACTATAGATTATTTAAAAAATTTTAAGTTTTAACCAATGGGATTTGAAGATACATACTTACCTGAATCTAGTCATCTAAGCAACAAGGTATCTTTGATTCAATTGCCTGAAATGGCTTAAATTCTAGTTTTGCAAGTGCTGATTTAATCTTTGGTCCTTTTTGGTTTGGTTGGATTTTCAATGTGTGAGCTGGCCAGAGAGATAATACAGTGGGTAGGACTTGCACGCTTTGCATGCAGATGACCAGGTTTCAATTTTCTAGAACCCCATTTGGCTCCCCAAGACCGCTGGGACTGAATCCTGAGTGCAGAACCAGGAGTAAACCTTGAGCACTCCTTGGCGTGGTCCCCCAAAATTTTTTAATTAAATGTGTGAGCTTTAAAGTCAGACCAGAATTCAAATTCCTCATCACCCACCGTACTGTGAACCTCCAATTAAAATGAGACTGTTACCTATTCCCAGAGCTGTGGGTTTAAAGTAAGACAATGTAAGATAAAACATGCAACACAACATAGAGAACATCCAGCGAGGGGAGGGCAGTTGCCTTACCCATGACCAAGTCAGGTTTGATCCCTGGCATTCCATATGGCTCCCTGAGCCAGCCAGGAGTCATCCCTATGCACAGAGCTAGGAGTAACCCCTGAGTACTGCCCAGTGTGGCCTCCAAACAAAAATACAAAAAACAACAACAGCAAAAAAACATACAGTACAGTTTCTAGCAGAAAGAATGTACTCAACAAATGTGCATTTCTACAGCATTTGAAAAAAAAACCCTAAAGATAGTTTAGGAAGATAATTTTTATTTTCTCCAGGTTGTACAACTTTTGTACAAAAGAAGACATATGGCCCATTAATAGACATGTAGCATGATTATATATATTCATGACCAGTTTGAATCACAAAAGAATCTTGATAGGCAAAAGAGTGATTTTTTTTTGTAATGTTTACAGAGAGGAAAATGCCCTAATGACCTAAGGATTCTCTAATAAGATCAGAGACAAAAAAGATATTGTATTTTGTAATTTTGAGTAATTCTCAGCCCAGCAAAGACAAGAAGTCACCTAAGCTTCCCTAAAGTTGGTAATAATAGAGTCCTGGTTATAGAGATTGTTTAGGTACATAACCAAAGCAGTAACCTGCCATATTTTCTTGAATCCTACTCATCCCTTACTAATCATAGCTATTCATAGGAGTCCCCCAGAGATCCTTTCCCTTGGAACTACATCAGAGGCATAAAAGTTAAGAGTCTCTATAAACAAAACTAAAATAATTTCTAAATTATCATTTTCAAAACTGCTTTAAAATAATCATACTTAATATCTAGTGTTCCCTAAGTAAAAAAAAATTAGTGGTTCAAAAAGAGAGTAAAGGGTTAAGGTGCTACCCTTATTTATTACTGACCCCAGTTCAGTACCCAACACCACATATATTTCTATGAGCAAAAAGTCAAAAAAAGTACTAAGCACTGCTGGCTGTGGCCAAAAGAGAAAAGAGAAGAAAAGTTTTCCTAGTCAAGGAAGTTTGAGGAATAATGGATGGATCCACTCATCTCCAAGAAGATGATGTGGATGATATCATCTATTCAGCTCTAACTTTGATTTTACACAATGAAGGCTCCCTGGGCCCCACCCACCCAGGTTGTCCCCATTTATCACTTACTGCTTTAGCATTGTTAGTGGTTACTTGTCCTTTAGTATCATTAATGACACATGTGTGCTTACCTGTGATGTGATATAACTTTGTGGCATTCCAGAGTTAGTGGCTGGATTTTATGACTCACTAGAAGTCTGACCTTGAGGGCAATCTCCAAACTTTTTATGCCTCATCTTCTTCATCAATAAAATGATGATAAAAGTACTTGTTTTGTTCATGTCACACTACTGCTGCTATGTAAGCTCATCTACCAGCCCTGTTCCAAAAACTTATGAAAGTACATCTCAAATGCAGATCAAAACCACAATGAGATATCATTTCACACCACAGAGACTGGTCCACATCCACAAGAACAAAAGCAACTGGTGCTGGTGCGCATGTGGCGAGAAAGGGACCCTCCTTCACTGCTGGTGGGAATGCCGACTGGTTCAGCCCGTTTGGAAAACAGTATGAATGATTCTCAAAAAATTAAAAATCGAGCTCCCATTTGACCCAGCGATACCACTCCTGGGAATTTATCCAGAGAGGCTAAAAAGTATAGTCAAAGTGACATCTGCACTTGTTTGTTCATTGCAGCACTCTTTACAATAGCCAGAATCTGGAAAAAACCTGAGTGCCCGAGAACAGATTGGTTAAAGAAACTTTGGTACATCTACACAATGGAGTACTTATGTAGCTGTTAGAAAAGATGAAGTCATGAAATTTATATACAAGTGGTACTACATGGAAAGTATCATGCTAAGCGAAATGAGTCAGAAAGAGAGGGATAGGTATAGAAAGATTGCATTCATCTGGGGAACATAAAGTAACAAAATAGGAGACTAACACCCAAGAGTGGCCAGGATTAATACAGGAGGTTTGCTCCATGTCTTGGAGGCCATGCTAGGGGAAAAGGGAGCTCAGATAGAGAAGGGAGCACCAAATAAAGGGTGTTGGGAGGATCCTCCCAGGATGGGAGAAGCATGCTGAAAGTAGACTATAGACCAAACATGATTGCCACTCAATGCCTCTTTTGCAAACCACAACACCCAAGAGGAGAGAGAGAACAAAAGGGAATGCCCTGCCACAGAGCAGGGTGGGATGGGAGGGAAGGGGGGTGGGAGGGATACTGGGATCCATATGGTGGGAAATGGGCACTGGTGGAGGGGTGGGTACTTGATCATTGTATAATTGAAACCCAAGCACAAAAATGTGTAAGTCTACAACTGTACCTCATGGTGTCTCACTAACAAAAACTTAAAAAAAAAAAAAAAGGCCTGCAAAAAAAAAAAAAAAGTACATCTCAAGGGCTGGAGCTATAGCACACCAGGTAAGACATTTGCCTTGATGCAGCTGACCTGGGTTCGATTCCCAGCATCCCATATGGTCCCCTGAGCACTGCCAAGAGTAATTCCTGAGTGCAAAGCCAGGAGTAACCCCTGTGTATCACCAAGTGTGACCTAAAAAAAAAAAAAAAGTACATCTCGAAAAAGATCAACTAGCCAAAAAAATTTCTCAGATAATCAGTCCTGGCTGAGACCTCCACAATCTCTCGGGGCCGGGGTGGGGGGGGGGGGGGGGGTTGGGGGACACATATACCAACGACTGTTGCCATGCCTCCAGTTGAACTCCACCAGCTCACAACTAAACTCCACAGAGATGCTAACCTTCTGAAGATCTCAGGTACACTGGGTTTTGTTTGGGGTTTTTGGAAGAGTGTCTAAAAACTCTAGGTCTTCTCAGAGTCAGGACGGGTGACCTCCCCACACCTGACAATACTTCTGGTAGCCCCGGCAGCCACACCCACATCCCACAGCCACCACCAGATAAATTCATCAACTGTCTTTGTTCCACTCATAAATAAATCGCAAAGGAGATTAACTAGTCACAAAAAGTTTCCAGATACCCAGTCCCAGTTGAGACCCATGGGGTGATTTCAAGAGGGTGCAGACCAAGTTCCTGCCCAACCAAAGCACCAGCAGCCACATTCACACCCCAGCTTCTGCTGCCATGCCTCTGGCCAGACTGCCCAGTAAAATATTTTGGATTTTCTGGCCTGCGGTTTCAAATGCGGCCACACAACATCTTCAAACTCTATAATACTAATATCCTGGTAAGAGCACACCAGCTTGGATGTGAATGTAATGTAGAAGGCAAAAAATCTCAACTAACAGAAACATTGACATAGAAGGTTTAAGTTGCAACAGCAGCTTAGTAAACCCTCAGACAAGGATTTAATGTCTTGATGGTGAGATACAAAAATTTTCACACATTTTCTTTTACTGAAGTATTTTTTGATCATTCTATTGACAATTTAGTGGTAATAAACAATCACTAACACGGTAGCACTGTCCTCCGGTGCTGTTCATCGA